CAACACAATCATCATTCTCTCCCCATTAAAAACTCAATGATTTTAAGGGCTAATAGGAGCTAAGATTCAACATGTATTTGCTTTATACCAAGAGCTGTTCTAAGTGCCTCCCCATGAAGTAGGGGATTTAAGACACCAACAGCTGTGTCGTCCAGATCAGCGTCAAGCCCCTGCTTCACAGCTGAGTCAAGCCGCCTCCTTCACTTCTCTTGAGGGAAGTGACAAGTCGAAGGTCACCTAGTAAGGGCTGCAGCCAGGGCTCCAATTGGGCTGTTTCTGGAGTCTATACTCACGCTGGCACTGCTGGAATGTGATTCTACCTTAGTGGTGAAGGCCTAAGGCCAGGGTCAGCGAGCCCGGCACTTCCTGTTTGGCCTGTCCCCCATCTGCAGCAACGGACTTCTGCCATAGCAAGCCACGGCACTGGGGCAAAGGTTTCAGTGATTTCTTCTAGTCTACAACAGATGATCTGAATCCCGCTGATGGCATGAAGGCCATCACTGTCCACCAACTGCCTCTCCGTGTATGTTAATTACTTGCCCTTTCCCTGGTTACTTATACTATCCCACCGACCCATGCTGTTTGAGGCTCTGGGACCTCCAGACTCGCCCCCTGAACTCCTCTCTCCCTCCTCTTGCTCATCCCTGAGGACCTCCCTTAACCCTGGGGATACTTCCCGGACACAAACATTCTCTCCAACTTACTACAGCACACAGAACTGTAAGGCAAGATAACCATAGCTATGTTTTTGAACTCGTTGATACCAGATGCACTGGGCAAGCTCTTGGATTGTTTGCTGGGTACAAATCATGAGCCACTGACATGTAGCAGGAGAGAGATAACTTTCTTTTCTAAAACCTGAGCAGTTTGCTTTGGGAGATCTCATTTAGGCAGGAGACAGAAACTTATCAGCAGCCCACTCAGGGGCTGCTCTAGCCCCTGGCAACTTTGTTAAAAGGAGCCTGGAAAAAGTCTCTAGATGTTTCTGTCTCTGTCTCCCTCTCACCCCCCCAACCCCGTGTGTGTGTGTGGGGGGGCAGGGAGAGTGGGAGGGCACACCTCTGGTCTCTGGGTTGCCCTCTCCCCATACCCATGCTCCCAGCTGGGATAGTGGTGTCCGACACCTCCCCATACTGACCAGGACTCTGCCCATTTGACCTTTGCAGAAACCTTGTGCCTTTCTAAGTCACTGGGCATAGGTTAGTGGAAAGGGCAAGCTCTCTCCAGCCCAGGTACCCCAGGCACACATTTTCCTGACTTCTGCTCATGTTCACCAGCCCCCAGCTGGGACTCGGAACTCTCCCAGTGTCCCGCTGTACCCCAAGGATCTCCTTGCCTTTCTGGTTTAGTTCTAAAAAGCTATAATGTCTGTTGTGGGAGAAACAAGTGCCTCTGACCAGAGCAGTGGCTCTCAACCTTCCTAATGCTGCGACCCTTTAATACAGTTCCTCATGCTGTGATGACCGCCAACCATAAAATTATTTTGTTTCTATTTCATAACTGTAATTTTGCTACTGTTATGAGTTGTAATGTAAATATCTAATATGGAGGATATCTGATATGCAACCCCTGTGAAAGGGTCATTTGACCCCCGCAAAGGGGTCGAGACCCACAGATTGAGAGCTGCTGGACTAGAGGCTTCTTCTAAAGCTTCTGTGGGTTGTGATGATTCATTCCTGCCTTGCCAGAGAATGGCACCAGCTGGGAGGAAGGTGGGACTACCAGGAATTCAATAGAGAGAATCTGAACAACCTAGCTCTCTTCCCCTAAACACACACACTCAATGATTACCCAATAAGACCTTCATCATAACCTGTGGGAGGTATAGTAACTCCCAGTTTACACGGGAAAAGCTGAGCTTTGGCGAGATGAGTTTATCGGCCCTCAGCTGGCAAGCTATTGACGCTGCTGACGGTACTCCATACTCTCACCACTCCATCTGCTTTATCTCGGGAGACTGAGGTCTAGCCTCCCTCCCTTCCTTCCTTCCACACGGTTGCAGCTGAGCCTGGCCTCACTGAGTGCTGGGATTCTGGACCTGTACCACCACCCACAGCTGTGAAGAACTGTCTAGAGACCAGTTTGCCTCTACACAGGGAGCTTCCTGAAGTGCCAGCAAGGCCTCCAGCCGTCTAACACCCCGAGCAGGGACTTTGTAGGTGGACACCGAATGGAAGTAGTCAAGGGGAAAGAATGAGGATGGAAGCCACAATTCCTCACCTCGAGCTATTCTGAAACTTCCTAAATTCTATTCTGCCCACTAAAATAAAAGTAGAAACGAAATTTGAGTATTTAATTCATGTCTAGAACTCGTCTGTCCTTAGCTTGGCAGATTATTTTAGGCACTGAAGTTAGTTTCTTCCTTTTTAAAAAAATTATTTGTGTGCATTGGTGTCTGATCCCCTTCCTGGAACTGGAGTTATAGACAGTTGTGAACTGCCATGTGGTTGCTGGGAATTGAATCCGGGTCCGCTGGAAGAGCAGTCACTGCTCTTAACCACTGAGCCATCTCTCCAGCCCCTGAAGTTAGTTTCTTGGGTCTAGAAGTGTGTAATGTGGTTGGTGACACAGAAATGCTAAGTAAGCCCAAGTGTACCTTTGTCAGCCACAGTCATTCTACTGGGATTTTATTTGCTTTCTAGACATTGTCATCCAAGATGATGGTGGAATGGATATAAACCCCCAAATTGTGCGGCAGTGGTGGCCCACGCCTTTAATCCCAGCACTCCAGAGGCAGAGGCAGGCAGATCTTTGTGAGTTCGAGGCCAGCCTGGTCTACAGAGTGAGTTCCAGGACAGCCAGGGCTACACAGAGAAACCCTGTCTTGAAAAACAAAACAAAACAAAAAACAACAACAACAAAAACCTCCCAAACTTTCAGAATTTCACATAAAACCCCCAGATAACAAATATATATTCAGGCTGTGCATATCAGTGAAGTTTAGAGGTCTTAAGCTGTGATCGCTCTGTCTGTCTGTCTGTTGCTTTCTCTTTCTCTCTGTTTATACCACTTTTTAAATTTTTGAGATAGGGTTTCATGTTTCCTAGGCTGTTATCGAACTTGTAATACAGCAGAAGACAACCGTGAATTTCTGATCCACTTCCTCCACCTCCTGAGTGCTGGGGTGATGGACACATTTGAACTTTTTGTTTTACAGTGTTATGCTTATATATTTTTGAACGAATATTCAGGTTGCTTTCAGTTTCTAAGATAAAGTTCAAATCTTCCAACCAAGACATCCCACAAAGAATACTGTCTCTTCTTGTCTCCTTAGTAACTCGGGATGCTGACCCGGGTGACTGTAACATATTAACAGCCTTCATAATGTTGACAGTGACCTGTCTCTCCTGTGAGAAGAACCATCCTTACCCAAAACTGCCCCTTCCTCCAAGTCACTGTCCTTTCCTCTGCCTCGGTTTAAAGCAGGTCGGGTTTTCCACAGGGTCCCAACCCTGCTCCAGCTGACCATGCCAGGGACCACTGCAGTCACATACTTGTTGTGCCCCAGGGATGAATGAACCTTGCCTACCTAGTCCTTGCCCAGCTCTTTTCTTAGGGTTCTGACCTCTACAAGAGCCCGCCTAGCTCTCTGGGTAACAGGCAGGTCGCATAAAGGCCTTTATGTAGGCCCTTGTTCCTGGGGCTCCGATGAACAGAACACCTGGAGGTCCTTTGTAAACAGGATTTAGCCGGCTGGCGTTGAAGATGCCTTAAATAAGAGAATTAAGGAAGGAGTGAGCGTTATTTAAGGGAAAGGGCCGGGCTAGCTGGACTAGGAGGAGGGTGAATGGACAAAGAGACTCTTGGAAGCTGTAAAGATGATTAAGTTTCCCCCTTTCCCTTACCTATAAAATAAGTCATTTCTTAGATCTGGAGTGGCCTTCGATGAATTCCCTTGCTTTAAGCATCCATTTTACACACACACACACACACACACACACACACACACACACACACACTGGACTAGTTGTTTGGTTTCACATTTTCCTGTCTCTCAAAACATTAAAAAATATTTACTAGAGTGACCATAGTACCAAAAGCTGTATAATGCTCCCTTGAAACCCAAACATCATTTCAGAAAGCAGCCCATCTTTCATCCTCCTAAGATTTTTTCTGTGAAGCAGTAACTTCGTATTTTGAATCTTCCTTCTTGGTTTTATGCTCTTGCTATTAACTCTTACATAGTCCCTAGAATATTCAACAGATGTGGATATTGTTTTCCTAAAGTGTCACACCATTCAAAAGAGCACGCAGAGGAACCAAGGAATTTATTGTACAGCTGTGGTGAGTGAAGGGTTCTATTTTATGTGTGCTAAAAGCATGATTAAATATATTTCTCACATAATATCCCTTATTTGGAAAAAATAAGGGGGGAAAAGTCACGTTGAGTTCCTAAGAACCAATGACAGCCTTCTTGTAAGTAAAATTTGGTTTAATATTTTTAAGGCACAACACATATTATAAAAGCATACATTGGGGCTTGGGGGATGGGAAGTTAGCCCAGCTCCTCTGGTCTTTTTGATCTACATCAATTTCAAAGGAGGGAGAGTGCAAAAGGAACGTGTTTGTTTTTTTAATTTTACATTAGAGTGCACATGAATTTTATTTCTATTAATACATTAAACACAAAGAATCACTGCTTTAAAAAGAAAGTGCACAAAGGAAGTTTTCAGACTAGCCTTTCTTAGAGTGGCCTGTCTTGTTTTTTCCTGTTATTTCCCAATAAAATATTGTACCTTTCTGAAGTTGTATTTCTTCATTAATATTCTTTTCAATAAAAGGCTTCCAATTCTAATGTGAAACATACTTTCTAAAGGCAGTTTTAACACAGGCACTAAAGCTCAGTGTGGCTTCACAGGGACCGTCTTTAACAAGTGACTGGGAATTCACACATGTACACACTGGGCTGATTTCTGCCCCGTGGCTCGCCTTGCTCTGGGGGCAGGGGCAGACCACTGTGGAAGTCAGGCACAGTAAGGAAGTCAGGTCAGAGAACTTACCCTCAGTGTATGCAGACAGACACCGACATCCTTCTGTACTGTGGCCGGGATTTCATCATTTCATGTCTCATCTTGGGTCCCCGGAGACAGGCTGCTTTCCTTCCATCTCTAAAAATACCCCATGTGTCTAAATGGCAGACATAAGACACAGTATTGTTCTAGGACCCATGTTACAATAGAGATGAATTACAGTGTACTATACAGGCTGTATTGGGAGGTAAGATTTGGACCCAAAGTGTGTTTTGAACTGTGGATTTATTTATTTGTTTGTTTGTTTGTTTGTTTGTTTGTTTGTTTATTTTTTGGTTTTTCGAGACAGGATTTCTCTGTGTAGTTTTGGTGTCTGTCCTTGATCTTACTCTGTAGACCAGGCTGGCCTCAAACTCACAGAGATCAGCCTGGCTCTGCCTCCCGGGTGCTGGGTTTAAAGGCAGCACATGCCTTTAATCTCAGCACGGGGGAAGCAGAGGCAGGTGGATCTCTTGAGGATCTCTTGAGATGGAGGCCAGCCTGGTCTACAGAGTGAGTTCCAGCACAGACAGGACTACACAGAGAAACCCTGTCTCAAAAAAAACAAAAAACAAAAAACCAAACCAATAAGAAAACAACAACATACACTGGCTGTAGCATACAATAAAACAGCATTTAAAAAGAAAGAAAGAAAGAAAGAAAGAAAGAAAGAAAGAAAGAAAGAAAGAAAGAAAGAAAGAAAGAAAACAACAACAACAACAGGAGAGTCCCCTGACCCTGAGGACTTAAGAGTTGATAAGACAGTCAGGTCAGTGGCTGGCTGAGTTCTCTACCTGACCATTTCCCCAACACTATAAACTCTAAGGACTACCTCTTCTTCAACCTTAAATTCTTAAATCCTGGAGACCCCTTTCTATTTTTTAAAACTTTATTTTTTATAATTTATTTAACTTTATTATATGTGCATTGGTGTGAAGGCCTCTGATCCCCTGGAACTGGAGTTACAGATCGTTGTGAGCTGCCATGTGGGTTCTGGGGATTGAACCCGGGTCCTTTGGAAGAGCAGCCAGTGCTCTCTGGCGCTGAGCTGTCTTCTCCAGCCCTGGAGGCCCCGTTCTAGCACTGGATTCCTGTAAGTCGTTAGAACGCGAAGCAGCAACACCAGCTGCCTGCCTCCGGTGCCTAGCAACAGTGTGGATACCCTGTGACCATGTGGTAATAACTACTTGTGATAGATAGCACATGTAAAAGAAAATATTGTTTTAACAGAGATAGTACCTTTGGAGTTGGGGGGCAGGCTGTCCACGGCTTCAAAAGAGGTCTGTGGCTGCTAACGCTCCTGCAGCCCAGAAGGATACAACAAACAGTTCAGTATCGGCAAATGGTACCAGCTGGGCAGTAACCGGGGCTCCCAGCTGCCTCCTGCCCAGTTAGGTATCGTTTTTCTGTGTCTGTGTGCATACATATTGCTATAGATATGGAACCTGGAAATTTAACAATAGGGACTCTGCCTGAGCTAGAATAAAGCCAATTGCAAACTGTACTGTTCCGATGATAATCTCTGGAGGAGACATGTGAAAGCAATTAAAAGTACTCTCTGATGGGGGCGGGGATCTTAGCTTCCATTGAAAGAGGCTGGGAGAGCCTTTGAAAAAAGATGAAACTGAAAACACCACCAGGCTTTCCTTACTTATGAACGGAGCAACCATGCCACAGGTACAGAACCAATGGAAACGTACATAACGCTTAAAAGCGTATAAAATATACGTATATAACGTTTAAAACGTAGACAATGTTTAAAACGTATATAGTGTTAAAAATGTGAAAAGCTGAACATAACTCTCAGCTTAACACACAGCTGAAATAACCTTCCCTTGGTCTGGGATGATGCTCATGGAAACGAAAAGGGGCTTGGGCGGGGGTGGAGGGGCAGCAGCTGGACTCCATCACCGACAACCTGAATTTGAAAAAAGGACCCACCGAGAAAAAAAAAGGGGTGATGGTGGTTATTTTCCTTGTAATGTGAGCTTTTTAAAAAGCTGTGAACTTTTTACTTTGCCTCATCATGCTTCATTTGGCCAATTACTAACTGGATGGCCCCTGGACAGCGAGCGCGGGCTCCTGGAGGAGGTTGCCTACTTGTGTGTGGCGTGTGCAAAGAAGACACCGCCGTGTGCGAACTGACAGGGAGAGGGGGTGCGCGCGTGGGTCCCCCCCCCCCCCCCCGCCCTTCTCTTTACCACCACGAGGACCCCGGGGAAGCGCGCGCGATCGTGCGCTCCGGGTCTTCCAGCCTCCGGGGCGCCCTCGGGGCCATTGACATGCAAATCCACCGCTGAGCGCCGGCCAATCGCCGACACTTCCTGGGGGATTACCTGGTGGCGGCTGGCCGCGCGCGCGGCCCCGTTGCGCGGCCCCGGGCCGGGAGGCGTGGCGGTGCGGCACCCGCACGGACGGACGGACGGACGGGCCCGCGCGCTCGGGGACCCGCAGCGGCGGCCAGCCTTCCGAGCGGGGAGCCGCCGCCGAGCCGCGCGCCCGGGGCGCAGGGCGCGGCCGCCGCCCGTTGCTGAGCGCGCGCAGCCGCCGGCGATGCTCGGCGCGCCCGCCGTGGCCGCGAGGTTTGAACTTGGCGGCGGCCGGGAGCCCCGCGGCGCCGGGAGGCGATGGTGAGTGCGGGGCGCGGGGGACTCGGGCCCGGGGCGGCCCGGCCGGGAGACTTCCAGAAGCCCGATCTGCAGAAGGTGTCCCGGGGGTGGCGGTGGGGGGGAACCAGGCAGCCGGCTGCGGGCAGGTGGCGCGCTCCGAGGGGCTCCTGGCACTCTAGGCCTGGTCTTTCTCACCCGGGGCCGGCGGTAGGGGGTACCGGGGGAAGGGGAGGTGAAAGGGGGGGGGGGGCGGGTCGCAGGGCTGCCACTCCAACGGGATTGCTGGTGACTGACAGCGTGAAAACGCTTCAGAAGAAATGATCTGTGAAATATTTTAATTTTGATAAATTACTTCCCACCAGGGCTCCTGCGGAGTGTAGACCGCCTTTGCCTTTCTTAATGTTGCTGGATTGGTCCCTAGCGGGGAGGCCCCAAAGTACTTGGAGGGGGCGCGCGTGCCCCTCCCCCCACCGGCTCCAGAGCCAAGGCAATGATTTCCAGGAGTGTGTTCCGCTGTCAGGTAGCGTGGAAATGAAATTGCACCTGACGTTTGCTTTGCTCTGGGTTGCCAGAGAGCTAAGACCTCCTCGCCGTGGGGGTGGGGTGTGTCCCTCTTTCTCTAAAGCCTTTGGCATTATCCCCCAGCCCCCACCCACCCAGTCCTAGGGTTGCCGGGGAGCAGTTGTGTGCACAGACGGATGACTCTTTGCTTTCGGCCGGGCACCACGTCCATGTAATTCCCATGGAGAGCTATCTGGGTGCGTGGGCTTCCAAAGACCCGTGCCTTTTCTGTTTCTTAATCGTTTTTAAAGGCTAGTGGAATTACGTTCCCAATGAAAACACCTTCTCTCCAAGTGATTTCACCAGAAGCTGGCCTAGATTTCGGTTAATTTCAGTGAATCCTTTTTAAAAGTCCTTTTTCCTATGCTTTGATTTCTCTCTAGATCACGTCTTCCTGCTTTTAAAATTTGTTTTTTTTTCTAATTTTAAAAGCGTTTTGATTGTTGTGGTTGAAAGGATATATATAGATGAGACAAAGAGGGAAATGTGTTGGAGTTTCCTAAGACCTGGTTTTTCATAGCTGCCTAATCAGCTGAGAACTCCAGGGCTGTAGAATTTTCCTCCTGTTCCTAATCTGTTTAGAAACAAAACGTAGGAATTGACAAGGAAATGCATTTGCTTAAAATGCTATAACCAACAATAACTCATTCACATAGTTCCCAGGTTGAAATGGAGTTTATTGTGGCAATTTCTCTTGAACCAGCTTTCCACATCTGCCCCTGGCAAATGGCTTCTGTTTGTACAGCCTGTTTTGTAAATATGTCCCTTCACCATTACGGCAGAATGCCAGACACATATCCCTTTCCAGCGCCTGTAGGTAGCTAGGCTCTTAAAGTTAATATTTTTATTGGTTTCTACATCAGGACTTCCTTACCAAACCCTTGGTAAAACCCTGGAGAAGGTTACCAAGGGATGCTGTGGAGAATTTACTTCCCTGGAGACTTTAAGAATAGGATAAACATCCATCTGCCTGGGATGGCTTCAGTGTGGTACTGCCTGAATAAGACAGGTCACTCACCTCTCCCAGCTTCCGAGTTGAAGAGTTCTAAAAGCAAATTCCCACTTGCAGTGACCTGGAAACAAAGAACTTAACCAAAACTACCTGAGCCTAGCCGAGGTGAAGCCGTTTCCGTGAAACAAAGGGATTTTGCTGAGAATGATTCTAGATTATGCTGCGACCCCCCCCCCCCCCCAGTCTTCTCTGTGCTGTTCAGAAAATCACGACCGGTTTCATTCTGAGGGGTTGGAGGTTGAATACAGAGGCAGTTCTGTGAGTTCAAGCGAAGGAATCGATTGATGGGAAAGAGGAGTTTTCCCTTACACGCAGCGTGTGTGTCCTCTTGTAGAGTGAACCTCCGAGGATGACAAACCCGAAATTATTCTTATTCCCCTCCCCTCACCCTGCCTGGCCCCTCCCTCTCTCCCCTCACTGTTACCTGTGCTGGCCTGGGATCCTGGACTCAGGCCATCCTCCTTCCTCAGTTCCCCAGCAGCTGGGAGTGAGTACAGACGGCCAGCACAATGCTGGCCATGCGGTCTTCATTTTAACTCAGATATTCTGGATGTGAGTTACATCTGGTCACAGTTTATTGAGGTTACCAGTTCTTAACTGATGTGTAAAAGTTGTCCATACTTACGGGGTGCCGTGTGATATTTTGATACCTGTATATACTGTATCATGTTCAAATCTATTCAGAAATTTATCATTTCCTTGTAGTTCAGTTTTTAAGCCGGGTAGTGATGGCACATGCTTTATTCTCAGCACTCGGGAGGCAGAGGCAGGCCGATCTACAGCCTGGTCTACAGAGTGAGTTCCAGGACAGCCAGGGATACATTCAGAGAAACCCTGTTTTGAATTGACCCCCCCCCACACACACACACAAAGAAAATTAAAACGCCACCATTTCTCCCAAAATTTATCCCTGCTTTGCATGTTCCCTTGGAGCTCATGGTACATTAACCCAAACCAAGTGGGCCTGTAATGAGTGTTGGAGGACCCCCGCGGTGTTCTGGCTTTGCTGGTTCCTTCCAGAAGGTAGAATTTCATGGCTTGCCACTAGGTCTGCCTGCCTGTTTGACAGAAGTGTGTAATTCTAACCAGCGTGTGACCTCAGCTGCAGTGACACCTTCCTCCCTTTCCTGAGTATCACTTGACCAGGGGCTGCCACTCTTCTTCCTGGAAGGTCACCGAGGGGCTCACGTTCTGGGAGAGGTCAGGGCAGAAAGAAGCAAGACTTAAGTCTCTGGCCTGACAGTGTTTCACCTCTCTTGAATGCGCCACACACACCCCACCCCCGCCACTCCACAGCCTTGGCGTTATTTTCTTGCATGCCCCAAACTGATTTTCTTAGGCTCTCATAACACCAAATAAGAAAAAGAACAGTGGACATTCACTTATTTAGCAAACATTTACCATGTGGGAGGCATCCTAGAAACTAGGGATGGGTTCCCTGCCTTCAGGGAGCTCATCGTATATGAAAAACAAAGCATGTTAATAAGTTACTGTCATTCTCTGGGAGTAGGGTTCAGGGGTTAAGAACATAAGTTTATTGTAAAGTTAAATATATACCAACCTGTGACCCAGCGTATTCATGCCCAAGTATTTATCCAAGAGAGTAGATGAAAACAAATGTCTATTTAAAAAAAAGGAGAGACTTGTTTAGAGTATCCATAGCAACTTAATTCATGTTTGTCCACATCTGGAAATAATCAGGAGAGCAGATAAACTGTGGCACACCCATACGATGGAATACTATTCAGCAAGCAACAAAAATGAGCGTCAGGTCCTCAGCCCTCGATGAGTCTCAGGAACTCTGTGCTAACTGAAAAGTCAGATGAAAAAGAACACATAAACTGTTTATTTATTTACTCTACTGTGGATTGAAACCTGGGCCTTTCACGGCCCAGACAAGCGCTCTACCCCTGAGCTACATTGCTAGTCCTAATCAGTGAACTAATCAATGATGGTAGAAGTCAGTGGTTGCCCAGGAAAGGGCTGGAAAGAAATAAGAACTTTGTGTGGTGATGGAAGGGCATTGTGTTCTGTTCTCAGTCACATAGATGTCGGCCGTGACTGAACCCTGTTGAACTGGACACAGCATTAGGAAACTGGTAGAGGGCCTCCCTCCCTCCAGTCCTGCCTTTAGGTGTGTGTAACATTGCCTTGGGCAAGTTAAGAGATGCCTGGGGACATTGGACAGGACCTGCGCCTCTCCTTAGATTGTAGGAGGACAGAGCTAGATAATGATGAAGAGTATTTAGCTTGGTCTGAGCTCAGGGACTTGTTCATGTTTCTGTGCACTATGGTGAGTATGTGGTTTAAAGTGTGAGTGACTTACCCTTTATGTTAAAGGCACTTTGGTTAGGGTTAGGAAGGTTTTGTGGCAACAGAACGGCTACCCCCGGCATTACATGTCTCCATTTTAGTAAAGATCTCTTTTTGTGTCTGTTGGGGATTTCACTGTAAAGTTCTGGCCTGCCTGATCAGATCACAGGGGGGCACCCCTGACCAAGATGCTGTTTGCAATTGATAGCCGGTGACAAAGAGAAAGTTAGTTTCGAAGTGTCACTAGGTGTATCTGCCACACACCAGGTGACCCCGTGTCCGGGAATTGTGGGCCAAACCAAAATCCCATGCTTTCTTTTGGTTTGGTTTTTTGGTGAGCTTTTTGTTTGGTTTTGGCTTTTTGGGTTTGGGTTTTTGTTTGGTTTGGTTTTTGTTTTGAGAGAGAGCGAGCGAAGTCGGATGGGTTGGGAGTTGGGGGGGATCTGGAAATAGTTGGGAGAGTGGAAAACAATGAAATACATAGTATGATTTTTTTTTTTTCTTTTGAGACAAGGTTTCTCTGTGTAGCCCCGGCTGCCCTTGAACTCACTTGGTAGACCAGGCTGGCCTAGAACTGAGTTGGGCCATCTGTGTCTGCCTCCAGAGTGCTGTGATTAAAGGTATATGCCACCACCATCCTTTGAAAAATTTTTCTTAATGCAATGAAAAAAAAAAGGGGAACTTGTCTTTAAAGTTACATCAAAGAGAGGAAGCGTCTGTTAGACAAACCCTACTTTTGAAGACTGATTTTGTGATAGTATTTCAAGGGAATTCCTTCTGGGCTGAGGCTCAAAAGCATCTTCCGGGAAGCCAGGTTAAATGTTCACATCTTCCATGATCTTTCTAGAGATGCAGGTGAAAAAAGGAAGTTTCTAGGCTCTGAATCAGATACTTTGTTTTTTTAGACTGGTCTCCAGAGCGAGTTCCAGGACAGG